ATAGGATAATATAAAGTTCACAATCCCTCAAATTACAAAGGTTGATATAATGAGTTGTGGCATGTGGATTTACTAACTTTGTGGACAGAGATTAGTGTGAATGAGTGAATGGATAAAGTTATTTATGTTCATCAGAATAGCTAAGGTATTTTTCAGTATTACTCATACTGGGTATTGAATTGATTGTTGCACATCCATAGAAAACTTAACACAAATAGAACTTAGATGAGAGAGTTTTAAAAAATAAAAATAATTATTAGATAGATGAGAGATTAAAAAAATAGAAATACAAGTTTGAAGCGAAAATTGAATCTTAAATACTTCTTCCACTCAATTAATCGATGTTCCACATTTAACAAATTCTTATGCACTTTGAAACCACACCACCCTTGCACAATAGTGTTGCACCATGTATTTCTAATGATATCCCTCACCTCACTTTCCATCAGCCAAGCATTTTCCATTCTAAAAGGTCTAGGTCCCACTACTGCATTTGATGTACTAATTTACAATGGAATATGATCATAAGATAATTTTGGTAGTGATTTAACACCAACTAAAGAAAAATTTGTTTCCAATCAACAGAAATCAAGAATCTATGAAGTTTACTTATAGTGAGAATTTTTATAAATAATTGTACGAAATTACAATAGCTGTCTTCACAAAAATCCATGATTGTAAGACCCTCTATTGTACATTAAATTACTATATATATTAAGTATTAAAAATGTTATTAATTTAATTTCATCTTAATAGCTTTAACTTACATATCCCATATTCATATATTTACATACAAGTTGGAAAATGTTTATATAAGGTGCAAAGCAAGGCACCCCTTAAAAATATAGTAGGAAAGAGTATTTTAAAGTTGGAAAACCTTCCAAATGACTATATCTGACATTGATAAAAAGATAAAAAAAGAGAATTCCAAATTTTTAAAATAGTATACCTTATAATAAGTTATCTAGACCATCTATGTTTATTATTTTCAAGTGCTTAATTTGAATATGGATTTTGAAACCATCTAAAAGTTTCCGAGGCCAAAAATATATCGGGCGCGAGTTAAATGTATGGTATAAAGTGGTTGCTTACCTCACTTTTTTTCTCTCTTTTTTGTCTTCTTTTTTTTTCACTTTGAAGTTTAGAGATACTCTTTTATAACTGACCCGTTCATTTTCAAATTCAAGTTTTTAATAATTAGCTAAAAGATTTGCTCCTCCATGGGGAGGATAGTGTCTATTTTCCCCTTCGGCAAAAGCCATGGAATAATAAAAAAATTCTCGGTGCTCCCAAACTGCTAGCAGCCATTTGAGCTAAGGATTCAGAATAATTTTTTACGATATATAAATTCTCTATCTTTTATGTCATTAACCCTCTAATGACCAAATATTAATCGTCCAAATAAAAAGTAACATGACACCCTTTTAAATTTTAGCCAACTATTTTTTTTTCCGTTAACTTCTCGCCTCTCTCTCTCTGAAAACACCGTCTCTCTCTAGATATCCAAAGTCCAGTTGCAGAAACCCACTCTCTACAATGTCTCTCTCTCTCAACATACCAGAGGCAATAAAAACAGCCTAGAGAGAGAAAGACAAGCAATAAAAAAACATTTGAAGAAGAGGTGGTTGTCAAGAGGGAGAAGAAGTTGCAGAGAGCAAGGGATGAACCAGAGGTGCTCGTGAAGAGAGAGAGTAGATCGCAGAGGAAATAAATTGAAGAAAATCAGGGGAATTCTCAGGTAAAAGTCATGGACACTGACGATTTGCAGTTAGAGATGAATTGTAATAAAAGAAGAATAGGGAAAAGTGTAGAGGGTCACTGTAAAGAAGCTTAGGAAAGGTGATTTCAACACAAACTGTGTTTTTTGGAGGATCCATTGTGATTATGAGATAGATTTTTGCATATCCGCCCAAATTGAGCTAGAATATCAGAATCTGACCAATTGGCCCATACCGATTTATTAATAGGATGGCCTCATACGTTACATGATTTTACTTTAGCCAAAGATCCAATCAGAAAATTAGAATTCACAAGTCTGTAGAGACTCAGGATAGTTCCCAAATGAGGAAGAAAGGAAAGACTAAGAACCACGATCAAAGAAACCCATTAGTTGCAAGAACAAATTCAGGAAGAGGGAGAAACGGAGGATCCAAACAAAAGTTAGAGAGAGAGAAAACAGTTCAAACTACGTGAATTCAAGCCATGTTTCAGTACTCGATCCACCCTTCGACGATGAATCATATTCAACTAAAGATACCTCTATAACAGAACTTGGACCAGGTAAAATTTCTCACAACAAATTCACTGTAATCAAATTCCTCCTTCTGTCCTAAAAAATTCATCAGTATTCATACCATGATAAAGACCACCTAGTTCTCCTAAGGATGAAGGATTTATGTTCTGTAATTTCGAATGTTCTCTTCTATAAGCTCACTTCTGCCGGTTATTAAAATTATAGAGCCGCGGGACATCCATCAAAGCTCGCTACCTGCTCAATCAGCTCATCAAAATGCCAAGCCATGCTTCGATCTTAACAGAACGAGCTCTAATGTAAGAAGGAATGTTGTCATGGAGTCTTGGGTCAATATTTACAGGCTTTTGAGAGCTGAAGGGGAAGATACAAATTGGGTTTGGAGAGATATGGGTTCAAAACTCACTGGAGAAGAGAGGAGGAAAAAGTATCTTTTTTTTTTCATAGTCACACATCTCGATGTTGAGATGATCACTCAAAGGGTTATTCATTGTTAAAACTACCTTTTACGATGGATTTTTGAGGTTCATCTCTAGTTCTATATTATAAGGTAGCATATTTATATAAAATTATAAATTTTTTTTTTTGTTTAATGGGCATTATCCTACTATTTGTTTAGGTTAATAATACATGGTCAAAAGGTGCATAAAATAGAAAAGTTAAAAACCATATGGTGTCACAAAAATTTTGAATCCTTGGATTTCCAAAGAAATGGGTGCAAAAAATGGGGTTCACATAAATTTTCCCTAGAATAATATTGGTAAAAAATATTCCGGAAATACACGCTCTATGCACTAGAAAGATGGTGTGGTTTGTATAGAGCTGAGGCTCTAAACAATCAAAGTAAAACATACCTTCAAATAGCGTCAAGAAATGTGGTTTCAATATGAAAAAACTTTGTGATAGGCTAAAAATATTTTTTCATCTTCAATTATAGAATTTAAAGCTTAAAAAATAGTGTAGATTGAGTAGATATATGAAAACTTCAAAATCTTGAAAATTGACGGTCCAAAAATGTATTACTATATGCACTATTTTTAAAACTTAAAATCGATTTTTTTTCTCATGTCCTTGATGTTGAGATGATCAAATTGAGGATATTTGACCATCAAAACAACCTCTTCTAGTGAAATTTTTGAGATGGGCTCTAATTTAATTGTTTAGAGCCTCGGCTCTACATAAACTTTTTCCCTAGAAAAAAACTTATGTATTAAGATTGAATAGAAACCATCCAATTTTTGAATGGCTAGATTTAAGTGTCATAAAGCTTAAAATTCAAAATTTTATTTTAGAAATAATCATTTAGTAATTATTATGTGTTTCTCAAAATTTAGATTAAAAAATTATCCTAAGGTGTTTTGAGCAAGGGAAGCGATGAGCAGTATTCTCCCTAGGGAGCATAGTATATGCGCTCATTTATTGTCTTCGAATGAATTGAGGAAGATTTCGAACTGGACCCACAGCCAACGTGCTATACTACATTTTCGCGCTCGCTTTTATGTTTCCCACCAAAAAACCACATTTCTTAGTTTTGGAGCCAAAATTCAAAACGTGGAGCCCCTTGTCATGCTTTTGCTTTTCCCGCCTCAGGGTTCCTCTCTCTCTCTCCCTCTCTCTTTCTCTCTCTACATATATTTATATTCTCACATCGTTGCCTCTCTCTGTTCACGCCTTTAGTCTCTCTCTCTCTCTCGAACCAGAAGAGAAATCATTTTCTCTCACTAGAGAGCGGGCACGATTATTGCACTAGAACCAGAGTAGGTTCCATAGGGGACCATTTTATCTCTCCAAACCCAATTTGTATTAACCAGCTGGTCCCTGTATCTTCATTATCTCCCTCCTTCCTAGATTTTGAGCAGCATTAACCAATTGCCATTTTCTTTCTCTAGAATCAAAGTCGACTCTTTTATCTCACAAGCTCCAGATTTGGGACTTACTGGGAGCCATTATTGACATCGAAATGGAGAGACCGAGCACAAGGAAGAAGCTTAAGAGAGAGAGATCTGAAGAGTTGGACACAAATGCATATCGATTCATGAGATCGGGAGCTTTTCAAGGGATCTTCACTCGAAGCAGGTCTGAAATTTTTGTTCACAAGAGCCGATCAGGCCTTCAAAGACCAGATCGCAAGGGAAATCACTCTAAAGAGAGAGTGATTAAAAGATCAAGAGAGTTGCAGAGTATTGAAGATAAATGTAGCTTATCCTTGGTGAAGGATCTCAGAACAAGGAGAGTTTTCTCCCAACCTTCCATTAGTGGTGATGAAAGCTTCCAAAATGTCATAGAGAAGCCCAAGATCAATGGTCCAGATTTATCGGATGCTGTTTCTGCCGAGATTGAATGTCCCAATTCGTCTGATGCTGTTTCTGAGAAGTCTGAGACAGATATAGGGCTTGAGAGCATGATCAACAGTGTTTTGACGGCTGAGATTCTACAGGTTCCATGCCATTCTGAATTTGATGGTATGATTTCATCAGAAGTAGGCTCTGAGAGATCTGAGACAGATTTAAGGCTTATGAGTTCAATTGGTGAAGTTTCTACTACTAAGAATCAAGTAGATATTATTGGTGCTGGATTTATTGCAGGGAAAAACTCAGTAAGTAAATTAATCTCAAACAATTCATAGATAAATGGAGAAACATCTGTGTGTTGTGTTTATGAAACAAAGCCACCAGATATCTATTTGATCAGATAACTGTTTTAGCTGATACTTCAGTCAAAGGAAGTACTACAATGGCCTAATTTTGCGGTTTAAGTGATAAATGTTTTTCTTTAGTTGCAAATAAAATGAATGAAGAATTGGATACTATGGATGAAGCCAGTTGCAATTCCAATGTAATTTATTGACAGTTTTTGTGGATCAGTACTTGGAATGTAATAACTTTGGCTCAAATGCTTTGGCATACATAACTTGGAAATGCTTATAGCATAGGATCAAGAGATTTCCTTCTTTTTTTTTTCTTTGTTTTGTGGTAATTCACCTTTAGGATTCAAAGTTGGGATGTAGTGCTGCAATCATCAACATCTTGATCAATCATGTGCAGGCCTGACTCCTGAGATAGAGTAAATATTTTATTCGAAGTAGTTTCAAAATAACGTATATCTAAATGGTGGAGCAGGTCAAAATAAATTTTATCGGTGGTTTACGCCTTTGGACTCTCACAAGTTTGTTTGTTCTAATGAATGAGACTCATTTACAGGTGCTTACTCCTTGTTCGAGTCTGAGGATAGTGCACAGCTCCAATTCCCCTGCTTATGTAACTATGAGGCCATCTGCTGCTTTAACTGAAGGAAATGATACAGGTATAGTATAATATCCCTTCACAATTTGTACCAAAGGTGGTTTTGCTCATCAGTCTGTATGCGTGATAATCTCACAATTTGTTCAGAAGGGTTGTCTTGCTTTTCAACACTTTACTGATTGTTCTGCAGTTTTTTTTTCTGGATGTTGTTTCTTGATTCTTTTGCTTATCAATTCTTTTCAAATACTTCATAGTTTTGCTTCTGAAAATCAATGTGATGCAGGTGTTTCAAAAATTCAACCTTGGAATGACATGACGTACCTGCATTCTTTCAAAGACCCTACAGATGGATGCGAACAAGATGTTCCAGAGGCGACACCTCCTAACAATAACCATGAGAAAACTTCACCAACCCAAAACTTGGAGGGTTTTGAACCTCTTATCTCTCCTTCTGATTCTCACGAAGAGAAGTGCCAAAATCAAGCAAACCATTCTGAAATTTCATTGTCAGAAAAACCCATGCTTGTTCACGACATGGAAGCTTCAGTTTCTTCTGGTCACTCACTAATCCTTGAAGCTATGCCATCTGAGAAGCCTGATTTCAATAGAAACGATCTGTTATCTGCAAAGTGTTGCACAAACCCAACATCCAAATTAACATGGAACAATCTCCCACACTCATTTGAACTACCAAAACCTTGCTCAATTCTAGATGGTCAGCTTGGTTCCCTTGCCCAAGACCTGTCCCCTTTTCTGGATACTCATAGTACTTGCCCTGGTTTTGAGAACTCATCTGTCCCAAACACATCAACTGCTACTGCACAAAGTGGCTGCCCTTCATCCAAATTTGCGGAAACTTCTGTATCAGGAAATACCAGACTTGGTTATGACATTGAACCTTCAATTACTTCTGATAACTCACGGAACCTTGAAGCCATTCTATCTGAGAAGCCTGATTTCCATAGAAATGATGAACGGTCTGCAAAGGAATGCCCTAATCCACCACGTATATTGACCAATATTGACAAGTGTGAAGTTTCAAACTCACCACTCTCACATCTTTTTAGCTTGGATGACGATCTCAATTCCTTTATCCAAGACCAAATCCCTATTCTTGATACTCCTGGTACTTGTCCTAGTACTGCAACCCCAATGGTTCCACAGCAATCAATGGTAAATGCACAAACTGACTTCACTTTGTCTAGATACAAGGAAATTCCTATATCAGAAAAACCTATTCTTGAAAGTGACATAGAAACTTTAATTTCTTCTAGTAAAACTGACACAGTCACCCTTGGTGCTGTTCCACCTGAGAAGCCTGATTTCAATAAAAATGATGCATTATCTGAGAAAGATTTCATAACCCCACCTTCCAAGTCAACATGGAACCAGATTTCTCATTCTTTTGAAATCCCAAACCCACCAGCTTCCAGGCTATTTAGCTTGGATGGTCAGTCTGGTTCCCTTATCCATGATCAAATCTGTGCTCTAATCACTCCTGGCACTTGCCCTGGTATTGAAACCCTGTTTGCTTCATCTCCATTAAAGGCCAATACAAAAACCACCTTCCCTGTGTCTCAATATATGGAAAATTCTGTATCTGAAAAGCATGTACTTGCTAATGACATGGAAGCCTCAATTTCTACTGATAACACAGTTATCCTTGAAACTAAGTCTTCTAGGAAGCCTGATTTTCATAGGAATGCAAAGGACTGCATTACCTTGCAACCTGAATTAAACAACACTTCACGGTCTATTAAAATACCAAACCCACCTTGCTTTCGCTCATCTAGATTGGATAGACAGCCTGCTCCCCTTTTCCCAGATCAATTCCTTATTCTTGATACTCCTTCCACTTGCCCTTGTCCTGATAATCCAATTGCTCCACTGTCAGTGGAAGTTACACAATCCCAATGCCCTATGTCTCAACAAGAAGGTTTTGCTCATTTGGAGAAGTCTTTTCCTGCTCCTTCAAAGGGTGGACTGACGTCTGATGTACAAGTGTGCAAAGGGCTCTGTTTGTGTGCGGATTGTGCATGTTTTCACTCTCAAGCAGAGAGAGCTTGTGATTTCTATCGAAAGCAGATGCAAAATATTGAAGAAGTCATTGCGGAGTTGATGAAGGAGTTCATGTGTGTGAGAAATTTAATGGAGAAACATATTTCTCTTGTACCTGGCCGAACTGAGGTTTCTATGATCGCTGTATCGCAGGTAGTTTCACATGAGACTTGAATGTTAGTTTCAATTGGTTTGATAGTCCAATATTCAGCGGTCTTAGCTTTTGCAATTATGGGAAAGTATATCATACATATTCTGTGTATGTATCATACATGGAAGGACATCCACCATCTGTTCTCTGGATGACTGATGGTGGTGATGAAATGTGCATATATCTGTGATATGAACTATGGTCCATCTCCACCATCTATCTTGAGAACAGATAGTGGATCCTGCTCACTGTGTGTATGATGTGCTTTTCCTTTTGTTTCTGGAAATCTGTTTCTGACTTTCACCTTAGTTGCGTTATACAGGATAGTTTGCCTTTTAAGTTTTGACAGCATATTTTGCATGCATAAGCACTCTGTACTAATGGCAGTAATAAGTCTCTTTGCTCCATTTCTGTTAACAGGTGAGGAGGATGCTTAGGCAGATCTCTAAAACAGAGGAATTGGCTAAAAACCGTCTCAGGGAGATGACCCGCAAACTAAACCTCCACACCAGAAGCACTGTAAGTCTCTTTTCTCTCCCTTATCAGAATTGGTTTACTTGAGAAATTTAGTCGTTGATTCGCCCCATTTTATGCTAAAGATATTTGTTTTTATCACATTTGGTTTCACGTTTTAGCCAAACTTGTCTCAAAAGTAGGCATTAGCCTCTTGCTTTTCAAATCAATTATTTTCTTAAAAAATAAAATATTGGCCGTAATTTTCTTCAAAATTAATTGGGTTCAAATTAGTTGGGTTCTAGCTCTGGTATCCCCTGTAATATGATATTTTAAAGCCTTGTAAAGTTTACCAACTGAAAGTATTATTCATGGGTTGGGTAAACAGAGAGCGCAACTGGCCAGAGTTAAATTCACCAAGCAGGTGGAAGAGAAGTTCATTCCAAACGGCTAAAAGCAGAGACATCATTGTACTGGGCATGCTTAGAGGCCTGCCTAGCCTCCATTTGCATCATAATTGGACCCCATAAGATTGTATTTGAACTTGAGGCATGGAATTTTAAGTTTGTTTTATGATCATGAAAATGTCAGAAGAATAGTGAAAAGGAGCTGGAGGGGATTGACCTTGTTAGGAGTGGAGATATTGTTGTTTTTTCAGGTTCTACTTGGGTGTAATCTTATCGAAATTTTCAAGACCATTCAAACTTCAAAGTCAAGTTTTTCGGTCCAGCATGCATGAATATGCAATCGGAAAAGTTTAGATTTCAAATTTTCGACCCTCTGGTAAAATGAAACTCTCTGGACAGCGTTTGAATTTGGGCAAAAATAGCATCGTTGTTTTATTTGGTAAGCAAGAGGTATGAAGAATCAGAGGAAGCTATCATTAACTTACGGACAGGAATTCTACGAGTCCCCTTAAAAGTTCATTTTTGCGATGGATTTTGGACCCAATTCGTTTCAATAGCAAAATCTAATTTTTGAAAAAAGAAGTTATCTTCAACACGAATTTTTAGACCCTCGAGTATTAAATGGCCAACATACATTCAAATAGCTCAATACTTATCGGAGGTTTGTATAGTAATATAATGCAACAACCTTCAAAAGCAATGTTAGATCCATTTATTTAACCCAATTTTTAAATATATTGAACAATCACAAAAAAGAAAAAATTGAAAATACATTCCAAAATGTGTTTTTTGAGCCCATCTAATATAGGCTGTCTATTTTAATGAGATGCTTAGATTAAAGCTTTAGAAGGTTTTTTTTTTGTTTTCAAAATTTTTAGATTGCTTTAGTATCATTAGATTAATAATGCTAGAAAAATTAAAAAGGTGATTTTGAATCTTGAAATTCACCAAATAGATTGTCGAGATTCATTGTTGGAGGGTGCTCATTTTGACTATATCTAGGATGCAAATTGAATTTTATTTTTTTGATATTGATTATTGGGATGAAAGGAGTGCAAAACTTGGGGTTATACAAATGTAATAAATATGATTTTTTAGAAGTGTGGTTGTATTATATTACTATACAACCTTGCATGAAATCATTCTCCATTCATGTATTTTTCAAGATAATGAACATTCATAATGCATTATCCTTTTTTTTGGAAACCCAAAAAAGTCATAATGAATTTTGGTATTTTTCTAAAAATGTTTTAGGGCTGGATTTGATTGATTCCTCGATTTGGACCTTTGGTTTGTTGATTTGGACCAGTTTTCCAAATGGATGATTTGGGTCACCACTTGATTTATTTAAAACATTTTTTTCTAGAGAAATTTATGTTAATGTCATGAAAATTAACATTATTAAATAAATATTTCTCAATTTTTTTTATATGTGAGTATTCTTTTTTTTTTTATTTCTCTAAATTCTCAAGTTTTCACTTCGGTGTTTCAAGACTCTAAGTGACAACCATTTTATCATTTTGAAGGTCCAATGTTTGGCTTCTTGCATACAAAGCAAGTGATTCGAAGTTACATTTGACTTTGTATATGGAGGTTTTTATTTTGGATTTTGAAAATTTAAAGTAGAAAAATAATTGTCACTTTGATCTTGAATTTCGAAGTGGCGGCAAATTTGGGAGAAGAAAAAAGAAAAAAACAGTATAATTGTAAAATAGGAAAACTAATTTTGGGGGATATCAACATAATTTTCTCTTGTTTCTATGTACTTTTTATGTAATTGCCATATTGTTGTGTGAAAAAGCTTATCTTTATTTGTGAGAGAGCTTATTTTCTTTCTTTCTTTCTTTTTTATCATTAATTAAACATATTAATGATTCCGATTAATTGGGATAAGCTTGGATTATGATGATGATTAAACACATTTTCTAAGAGCCAAATTGATGAGAACTGTCATAGTATGAGCTCCATACACATGCTAAACTAAATCCAAGTATGTCAACATCCTTATCTTAATTGAAAAGTTCCCTCATGCTTTGAATTTGAATTGTGTTTGTCTAGCATGTCAAGCTCGGTAACTCCTTTGGGGAGCCTCAAGCAATCAACACCCATTTTTGGATCTTAGGGTGACTTTTACTGAATGGTTTTTTTTGGTTGAATCAGTAGAGACCCTACAGTACAAGGACATCCTAATATTATTCTTCGGAAGGTCACTCATTCTGGTGCTACTTTTGCCCAAGCATGCTTAACTTCAGTGCATCAATATTGGTTTCGCCACACCCCTATCGTATGGATAGTTGAGGAGTACTAAAGCCCAAGTTGATTAGCCAAGAGTATCATCTGTAAACACATTTATTTGTCATGCATGAGTAGGTGCCTCTAAGATGCCATGCCTATGCATGCAGGAGCGATGATCTTTTTTTGGAAAGGCACACACATTGACCTCCTTTGTGGTCCAATGTCATACATGTAGGCTCGGTCTGGGCACCTTGATAATTCGTTCTTAAGGTGGTTAATTTGAAAATAAAGCTAAAAGAAAGTGTGTTATGACATTTTTAACTTAGGAAGGGAGAGAAACTGGCGTTATTCATGAATAGTTCGACCGAACAAACATGGTCTAAAACTGTTAATATATGGAGGGAGCTCGAATTTCATGAATGAATGGTTGTTACCAAAAAACGCTTAACCAAGTGTTATTAAAATTGCACTGAATTAGTAATGGGTAAAGTCAATTGGTCCGATTGCCAAGATCCATTTAGATCCAATTTTAATGAATAAAAGCTAAGATAATAATTGAAAAATATAAAATATAGTGCAAAAATTACTTAACTTTATTCTCCCAGTCTAATCGGTCAATATTGGCTTGTTTGGCCTGTCAAATATTGGTTTTAACCTACTTTTTGACAACACTCAAACGTTGCTGCTTTGGATTGGACTAGCTAAGGTATTGGTTGGTTTTTCAATCAGTGGGCTCTAATTTGATTGTTTAGAGCCTCGGCTCTATATGAACTTTTTTCATGGTTAAAAGCTAATTCTAGTTTTTCATTATTATTATAATAATAATAATTATTATTATTATTTTTATTTTTTTAGAATTTTTTTTGGACAGGCTCAAGTATGAACATTTGCAATTAATAAAAGGAGAAGGGCAAAAATTTAAAAAGAAAGAACAAAGAGAATAATTAAAGAGAAAGTAAAAGAGGAATACGAAAGAAGTCACCTTAGAAGCATAAGCCGGGCAAAAACTCAGATTTTTCAAACTTGAGAGTACCTTTTCAAAAGTAAGCTTATTGTGAAATGGAAAAGATTTGGTGGTCTAACATGCTCGTGGAGATTTATATGTCATATCATATTTATTCATCTCTATGATCCACAAAAAAAAAATTGTTTCAATCATTGATTCACTTGGGAACAACTTCGTATCATCATCTATACATTGTGAAAAATTTCTACTTTTTAATGGATCAAGGATGCAAAAAAAATTCTAAACCTTTGCAAGTCCATTTCAACAGTAGAAACATGGATTTATTACCCTTAAAATAATGTGAATCTAACCAAACCAGGGTTATAGAAATGGATGGTCCAAATTATTAATAGAAAAGATATTAAAGATGGAGCATTTTTAGGACTTTAATCTTTGTTTTTTAAGATCTTTATTTCAAGGGTCAAGATGATGGATTTGACATTTATTGGGTCTTCAATCATCCAAAATACAAACAGCTGAGAGCCACGCATTGTTTTTCCCAAACTATATTCGTTTCTTTTTTTTCTTTTGCTTTAATTGATTTAATAAAGGTCAAATGAAATTTATGATAAACGAGGATACAAAAGTACTTGGTACCACTAAGGCATAACAAAATCCCTATCATCTAACAATGCTACATCTCAAGTTCAATTCCACACATGAACTACTAAAAAGAAAAAGAAAAAGAAAAAGAAAAAAAATCCCCTTCTTCAAATCCAGTCTTTTAAAACCCAACAATTTCCAATTTATATTGTCAATCCAAATGATAATCAATATGTACCAAACTAGTTTCAGAATGAAATAGGTCCGGGCTTGGCTCCCTGCCTAAAACCCCTTTTAGATATTTATATATTTTTATTCTAATTCTTTTTATCATTTTTTTTATTTTTTTAACACATGTTTTTAAGCCAATTCTAAATCTCCACCCTATAAACCTATATTTTAGTTTTTATTTTATTTTATTTATTTTTAATATTTTTCTGAATTACCGATTTAGACTAATCCAGATCCAATCATGATCGCCAATCCAGATCCAACACAAACATATGTGAATGATCCGCCCCTCCGATACAAAATTTGAGATGCTTTCAAATCTGTAACTAAAACGACATATGAAGCTCCTATCACGGTGTCACAAGTTTAGCTTCATTTAAGATGGCTAGTGCACATCAAATATCGAGATAGGTGCCGAAGATGCCTAATCTTCAGGGTTCTAAATCCATAAATGTTTCTTGATCTTGACGAAGAGGAAAAATTTCGAAATATTTTGGTCGTAGGCGCAATTTAAAGGAAACGCAGGATCATTTATCATTGGTACAAGGTGGTTGTAATTAATTTTGACTATTAAATGAAAAATTCGCTAGCTGCATTTATTATAGAAAAATTGTTTCATACGAGTTGAACCGCATTTTTATATATGCGATCCTGAGGTATGAGGCATCCATCTTAAAGATGGATACAAATTAGAGGTCCATATAAAAATAATTGAAACTACCTGTGCAAATGTTTTTTAATAAAATTATTATTTTTAATTTTATAAATATATTTGTTTATTCATAAATTCCATATTAGAGATTATATGCCCTAAAAAATTAAGTCCAAAAATCCATCTCAAAATTATATTTCCATAGAAACCGGATCCTTTATTATATGGAATAAAAGTTTACATAAGGTTGCAACCTTAACATGTAGAATTGTGGATGCACCTCAAAAATCCATTGGAAAAGGTAGTTTTAATATTGAAAAACCCTTTGATTGATCATCTCGACATTGAGATATATGACCATGAAAAATAAAAAGATTTTAAGTCTCAATAATATTGTATTTTACAACATATTATCTATAGGGTCTATTTTCAAGATTTATTTGATTTTAACTATTTTTGAAATTTAAAATTTTATAATTAGATGTAAAAATAAATTTTGAAATAAGGTTGCAGATTGGATACGGATGCATCCGTAGGTGTAGAGGTAAGGTGCAGCTTCAAATTTTATCATAGTAAATAATTTTGATGTAAAATATTCTTAAGATTATCTTAAAATCTATTTTTATATCTAATTATAAACTTTTTAATTTTAAAAATGGTTAAAATCAAGTAGATTTATAAACATATAAAAAATTTGTAAATGGGCGGTATAGATAACATATTGAAAAATATATTATTTTTGAGATTTAAATTTTTTTATTTTTTATAATCGTACATCTCGATTACGAGACTAGAAGATCGATTAAAGGGTTTTTCAACATTAAAACTACATTTTCGGGTGGGTTTTTGAGGTTCTACATTATAAGGTGGGTTTTTGAGGTTCTACATTATAAGGTAGCATCCTTATATTAACTTTTTCCAACTTTATAAGTCTATTTTACAAACTTTGTCACACCCTGAAACTTTTGGATATCATATCGGAAGGTTCCAGAGCAAGATAGGGATTTTCACCAGCAGCACCGCGCCTTTAACATACTATTTTTCAGAGAAAATTGCTTTCTCTCTCTGTCTCTCTCTGACAAATTTCAGAGAAAATTGCTCTCTCTCTCTCTCGGACAAAGAAATTGCTCTCTTTCCCTCTCATACAAATTTTCTCTCTTTCTCTCTCGTACAATTTTTTTTTCTCTCATACAAAATTTCAAACAAATTGCTCTCTCTGATACAATTTTTCAGAGCAAATTGCTCTCTCTTTCTCTCTCATTTCTTGCACTAAAATGCAGTCGCCCAATCGAGACCAGTCATCATCCTCAAACACCTCCACACCCACTTCTCTTCAACCTCCTCTACCTTCATTACCCAAATTACCAGACCTTCATTGCTTAAAACAACACTGGAATGGCTTCCTAACTCACTGCTCCTCTTCACTGAAACTCCCTCTTCCCCATTTCCACATCAACGGAGCAGAATTGAAAACCCACTTCAAAGTCGCAGCTGAATCAGTTGGGGACAGAGCAAAACAAGCCATTAAAAATGGGGCCTCTCTCTTTTCTGGACCATCTTCTGAAGTTGGTTCTAGCCAAAATCCAGTTTGGGCTCGTGTTTCAGGACAAAATAGACCCATCAATGAAACCATTTCTGCAATGAGTCTGGCTTTGAGCCCTGAAGCCATTGAAGAGAGGCTTGCTGGCATTCCTGTGTATTGTTTGAGCAATTCAGATAAAGAATTCGTTTTAATATCTGGTTCGAGAACTGGCAAGTCTCTTGGGCTTTTTTGTTTCAAAGAAGAGGATGCAGAGACCCTACTTCAACAGGTTATTTCACTGTGATTTTTTGGTCGTTATGCAGAGACCCATTCTGGGCATCCTGAAAATCTTTCCCAGAACTATGATTCATGCTTGGGTTGTGTTTAAAGGAAATATTGAGTTATTATTTTTAAATATGTAAAAGATATTGGCATGCTGTAATATTTACTGAAGTCTAAATCATGTGTTTTTTTGGGTAATTGTAGATGAAATCCATGGACCCTGGCATGAGACACGGGTCGAAGGTTGTTTCTGTTGCTTTGAATAAGGTAAAAATTTTCACTTTTCATTTGACTTTTTTTATTTTCTAGTTACAACTCTGGACTTCTTATTGTTAATCTTGTATGAGGTTAAGCTAGAAATATTTTGCACCTGATGCAATCAAAATTATTTTTGCTTTTAACAAAAACCATATACTTTAATTAAATGAAGTTCTAGAAATTGAACTAGGAAAGGTACTTACCCAAAAAAAACTAGGCAAGGTTACGAAACAAATCTTTTTTGGGTGATCTTATTTAATTATTTTATCTGCAATGATTGTTTTCCACACAGTTTTGTTCTAGAACTAGGTCACTACTCATTTGAGTTGGACTAATTACAATCATATACGTTTGTTACTAATATAGAAACCCTTCTATTGTTCTCCATAAATTTGCTTATTGCAAAATTATATGTACTTGAATTCGCACGACGGTTTGTATTAGGGACCTCATTGTTCCTTTGTTCATTGATGTTAGTCAAAGAGAATATTACTCATTCTTCGACCCTATATCTCTGTATGGACCTAAAAAAGTTTAATCACATCAAAGTAACCACAAAATTAATAACTTGTGGTTAGTTTATGTGGTATTGGAGCTATAGTTATCGAAGTGTAGATTTTCTGCTCTCATATATTGAAATCTGGCAAAATGACCAAACCTCAATACTTCAAATGACATGTTTGTATTTGTCAGGCTTCTATGCGAAGTCAATCTCACATCCTCATGCATGTGGTGCATATCTCAAACTTGCAATCGTACTATTGGGTAGTGGCACCACTTTAAGTTCTTGAGGGATTGTGGTCTCTTCATGACAAAAAACTTGGTTCTTTTTTAAGCTCATTTGGACCTAGATAGAACATTATTCAAAGGATATAGGGTTTTTGGGTACTGATAGTTAATGATTTAGAATAATATTTATTTTCAATAATTCATTTGTATCTCTATTATTGCCATTCAATCCAAACCCTTGCTTAAGATTGTAGTGTTGGGGAAGAACTTTCATAATACTCTTTGGTTGCATTCCCTGTCTGTCCTATATTTCATGAAACCATCATATGTTTTAAAACTCATCTTTTGGAGATAAAATTGATATGATTTTCTGTGAATTGTTTTTTGGTGATTTAATAAGGGTCTCTTTAGGGAGTGGAGGGTCTTCTTTGAGAAGCTGTAGTGGTGCATGCCATTTATATAATATCATAAGATTGTTAGTTACTTTTATTGCTCGTATAGGCAAGCCCACTGTATATGTTCTGCCACACACTTACATACATCTTTACAACATCAAGAATTACAAAACAAAATAAAGACAATACCTTAGGATCCGTTTGCTGCCACATTTTAATGAACATGCACAAAGCCGACGACAAAAACAACAAAGAAAAACATACATGTTTGAGTTGCCTAGGCTTACTCTCTCGGACTTAGTTAACCCCACGATGGATCTCCACATATTGATAGCACTCCAATTCATGGCAAAGTTTTCTGGTTAAACTCATAATCAACTTGAGAACATTGCGGGCCATGGCTTATGGAGTTTCTCTTTCTTTTATGGTTTCTCCTCATCTCTAATGTTTCTCTTTCCTCATGCACATTCAGCCTATCAAAGAACTCGATCGTCTACGACTTGTGCATCTTATGAACTTTCCGATCTTTCTCCTAATTATAGCAGCCGTTGAAGATCATCTTTCCATCTTCAACTCATAGAGGATGCCTTTCTCTATCACACAAGCACAGTAGCCTGTAGAGAAACTTTTGTACCTACACGCGTACCTTGAACAGCCTGTAGAGAACACTTTTCTCTACCTGATTTTGCAGCAACACTTGGGAAATCCTTTCCCCCTTTATTACACATCGACAAACCTATGAAAATCCCTTCTATGTGTTCTTGGATCTGGGATAATATGGAGATTAATACCCAAGTCATTGACGCCGTGAGGATACCTTCTCGGTGTGTTGCATGCAGGCCCATGAAAAATTCTTTCTGTCTTCTTCTTATGCTAAATATTACCATCCTTGAGCCTCCACCTTTTGCTCCTCCTTTGTTGACTGTTGTGACTGAAAATCATCATCTCTTCACTTTGTGCATGCTTTGGAGATGATATCGTATGATTTATCCAAGGTATTAACCCTAGAGACCTCACGGCTATCACGTGGAGCCCATGAAGGATTAACTTCCTTTCTTCACCATGTACCAGCCCTGGAAGCACCTACATCTCCGCATACAGCCATGAAAGCGTCCTCATCTCTTCATGAAAATGGTGTAAAACCCTAGGAAACCCTCCTCCCAACATCCCAGCTTTCTTAGTTCTTCCACACAAAAATCAAATGTGTCTTTTGGGAGAGTTGGGTGAGCCTTTATATAGACTGTTCTTGGTATGAGTTGAATTCAGACCTATGCATTCATAGCAGATCTATGGGTGGACAGATACCTTTAAATCTCTGCCATCCACCCATGAGTCAGTCATCACAAATCAAGGATGAAGATCACACCTTTATACCCAGTTGTTTTATGCCACACTACTTCCAATTCTAGGGCACATAGAATTCGAGGAATGAGATTCAAACAGTCTTTCTAATGAATTTTTGTTTCATTAAATAGGAATCCTAGTTTAAAAAATTTCTTACCACATTCTCTAAACCTGAGAAGGTTCTTGAAGGAATCTTGAAAACAAGAAGATCTTTTAAAGAAACTAGAATTAATAAATACACGGGTATTTTTGTCAAACGGAATGCTTAACACATTCTTGGACTTGTTGGTCCTGATTTTGCATCTCCTTAGTGAATTGGGACATCCAACTGCCATGTATAGAGAATTATGGTGCATTCCTCTTCAATTAGATTTGAAAGATATTTGGAACTAGGACAATTTGCATGTCAAATATATGGGTTGCTTTAAATTATTTTGAACTAGATCCAGGACTCATGTGGGACCCGTGGCCAGTGGGGTCCATGTGCTCCTCTTCTAATCCTCTTTGGATTCTTGGGAGACCAATGTCCATTGGGCCCACGTGATCCTCTATTGGGTTACGTACCACATGGCAAGCTCACATGCACCTAAACCCCCCAAATCATATATTTGATTCCTTTTCCATAATTTTCAAAGAAAAAACATTTTATTCCAAATCAGTCACTGGATATAACAAAACCATAAATTTAAAAAATGTTCTTCTTTCTTTTAAGAACATACAAAACACAATTTTTAGAGTGACTATTGAGAAAAATAATATGTTGGGAAACAGGCCTAAAAGAGTGGGCATGCCATGGAGATGACGCAAAAACTTATAACTGGGTATTGTACTCACTCTCTACCCCTCAAACTAACCCATTAGACCCATGACTCACTGGCCACTATGCAGGGGCTCGTGATTGGCCTATCATATCAACCAAGATGCAAATGTACTACAGGGTTGCTTGTCGATTAAAATACTCCCCATAGGACAAGTCATGTGTATTCCAGGCACGGTGTCCATCCCAGACCTGTGCATCATCTTAGTTCCATTGTCCTCTAATTCACAAAATAGGGAGAAAGAAAACAAACGAACCAAAAAAAAAAAGACAAATGGTGAGAGAATATACCTCTTTGGGTATGCAAGGGAATCCACCTCAAAGGTCTTTTCAAAAGACCCAAAGACCAATTCTTTTTGTTTATCTCTTTTCCTTCACCACACTTATGTATTTATTAAGAAACCTTAAAAGCCTAACTTAGCCTATAAGAAACCCTAGTCATTCATGTTCTAAAAAATGAATTTCCAACTCTATTCCTAAATTGTTTAAAGAAAAAAACACAAATACACTGAAAGGCCAAATAACGCCAAACCCAATTCCAATCTCCTAAAAATAACATAATAAAATAAAAACAACCCAAACTGCGGCATTCTTTTGAGGTTGGGATCCTGCAGAGGTCTTTTGAGTAGTTGGTGATAGAGTTCCACCATGCGTGCGCTGTGGTACTTTTTCCACTTCAATAAACCAAATAATAAACACTTAATGTGCAACTTGTAATGAAACCTTAGGATATCAAGCATAATCTTGATTCCACTTTTGAGCTCCTTCAGCAATTGATTTCAATGAAAGAATTTTTCAACCAAATTCAACAAGTCAATAAAACCCTCACTTTGGAGCTTCCCATGAAACTCTGGAAAATTGACCTTGAAGCTGAGATCTCATGGACCCTACATGCTTGTGGTGCTTGCCTCAATATTGATATAGGCAAGATCAGTCTTGGAGTTGGCTGTGGAGCTCGATTGATCCCGAGGTTGAGATTCGGTGTCAGATCTGCTGGATGACGAGCACTATCTTCTCGATGATGGGTACTTTCTAATTGTTGCAACAAATTATTGACTGCGCCGATCTTTCCTCAAAGTTTGCCAATCTAGACTTGACAATTCTTCATGACTTGATTTATGCTTTCTTAATTTGTTGATTCACAATATCCATGATTGCAAGAGAGGGCTTTGGTGGCATTTTGATGGATGGATCTTCTAAAGATTTGATACCACTTGGTGTATTAATTTTTCAAGGCTTTCTTCTACATCTTTTTGGACTCTTTCAAATATTTGATCCATGCACTCCAAAAATGGATCAGTAGATGTTTTTTATGGCTTCATGCAGCACAATTCTCAATGCTCTGATACCACTTGATGTAAGAGTGAGGGATAAAGAAACAAATTAAAAAAGGTGAGAGAATCTATCCTCTCTCTGAGTGTGCAAGGGAGTCCACACCAAAAAAGTCTTTTCACAAGATCCAAAGGTCAATTCTTCTTTTCTATCTTTTTTTCCTTGCTCACACTTGTATACTTATAGAAGGAACCTTAAATCCCTAACTTACCCCTTAAGAAACCCTCATCACTCCTAAATCCTACCCCGCAATTCTCTGCAATAAAAAAGACACAGATACCCTAAAATAAAAAAATAAATAAAAGACCAAATAAACCTCAATTTAATTCCTGTCTGCTAAAAAAATAAAACATAAAGAAATAGAAAACACTGGATGAGTTGTCCTCTCTTAG